CATATATTCAGAGTTTCATTCCATATATTCAGACTTTCATTCCATATATTCAGACTTTCATTCCATATATTCAGACTTTCATTCCATATATTCAGACTGTTACATATATATATAATTTCCTAAACGGCATGCCATATTAATATATATATATATATATAGTTTGAATGTCTTCAGTTTTTTTAAACTGTACAACATAGTTTATGAGACAGTTTTTCCTCTCTTTCAAATGAAAAAGTCTTGTGTTGAAATAAGCTGAATAGCTGCACTGTGACTGTGGGCCATCTGTGACATTTGAAGGTCTTTTAAACGCCCACGTCCCTGAGCGCTTCCCTCCACATCCTCTGCTCTCATTAAACTCTTTTCTAGTGTTGCTGTCGCTCCACTCTCCACTTTTCTACTTGAAATTCTTCCTGATCAGTGTTTTTTCCCCACCTTCAACAACTGTCAACAAAGAATCACCACAACTTTTTATTTTCAATTTTTTTAACCCCAGGATGCAACAAAAACCCACATAGAATCTGTCCAAGTGTCACATATTCTGCCTGCTGATGTCAACAAGCAGGTTTTGCGTGTGAGCAAAAGAAGATGTGCATTTATCTGAGGTGGATTAGACAAGACAGACGCTTACAATACAAGAACAGAAAACATCTGTGATGTTACGGAAGTGAAAGCAGATGGGAAACCACTTCAACATTTAGTCTTTAGGCCTGTAACCCTTTCATGGTCTTACAGAGTGTAAAGTAATAGAACTATTTTATTGGATATCTTGGTTCATTTAGGCAACTATGTTCTCTTTAACTGGCCACACAGTTTACTATTATGAGCCTTTAGCATGTGATCAGGATGTCAATAAGTTCCTTCAAGCCACTCAAACCAGCTGGAGGCCCAAAGATCCATTATAATGATATGGTTTGGCCTTATTAATAACTTACAAGAGAAATCTTTTTTTTATTATTATTACATGGATAGATTCAGTCAACATTTTTTGTTTTATAATTATACACAATGTGTCTCATTTAAATATATTTTTCCCAATAAATTCTCATTTAAATCATGTGTAATATTAATTAATAATTCTTTTTTGTGATTATCAGTTGTTTTATTTAAATTTCGGAATATGTTTACAGATTATACTTCAGTAAATGTTCTTTACACAACTGTATAAATAAAACGTAACTGAATGTGTCATAAAACAGAACTGTTCGTTTAGTTATTTCTCTCGATTGTTCTGCGTTCGACAGTGTGAGTGCGACACGTATCGCTTTCTCGGCGTGCGATTGCTGATGCCTGCCTCTTGTTTTCATGGGAAGAACTGTGATGGGCAATGGATGGGGAGTTCGACTCGCTTTTGGGAGCTGTTTAAATCGATCCGAAGCGTATCCATCTTTTTCATCAAGGAACAGATCTCGCTACATGGAAGAATTTAAACAGTTATTTTGCTTAATGACAAAAGTTAAAATACTTAAAGCAGCTGACACTCCTGTTCAGTGTTCAGTTTGATCTAAAGCTTCATGTTGCCGTTTTCCGTTTGGAACAGTTCAAAACGAGTGAATCGTTTAGTGACGGCTCATCCGACACAGCGGCTACCGTCAGCGCTGCTGGAGTCCGACACTGAGCGCTGAGGTAAAAATGGCTTAATTACAGTAAATATCTGTGTTTAGGAGAGACGACTTACGCTGCTCACGGTTAGGTGTTTGAATCTACCTGCCGTCAGTTCGGTGGCTAACTGCTAGCTAGGGTGACATCACAGAGCGAGCCGACCGCGGCCTGGTTCCGCTGCTAGCCCGGTGATTGACAGCCTGTCAACTAGCAACGAGGCTTATTTTGCTGCGGACGACTGTCGGTTTACGAGTCCCGAAGGTTTGTTCTGAACTCCGTGTGTCTGTATTTACGATATGCGAGCAGACTAGTAGCCGTTTGTGTGTTTCGTCCGCGGCTGCACTGAGCCCGAGTGAATCAACATCAGCATCCGCGGCGTGTGGCTCCTGTGTGGCCTGCTGCGGCGGGTACCAGCCCCACAGCCTGTAACATTAGCCGGCTGCTCTTCTTCCAGACCCCCGGGGCCTGGAGGTCGACTTTCATTAAGCTCTGGTAACGTTTACAGACATCTTAAACTCAGATATTCAGACTGTTGTGTTATAGTTGTCAACAAGGCATGCTACGCGAGATGTCTTCATGTTTAGGGGGCAATTAGCAAAGCTGGTGCAGCAGACAACATGAAATCATCCTTTAATTGATCTCAGGTTTTAGTGAAAGCATCATTTCTTATATTTAACCTGACAAATGAGCTCTTTCTTTGAGGGGCTATTTTCAGAACAACACAAGGTTGTCACTTAAAGGGAAAGACCAGCCTTAAAGGAGGATTTGCATTGTTGCGTTCAAGTCTTCACACTCTACAGGCAACATTTAGAGACTTAAATCACATTATTATGTAATTGACTTTATTAACAATTTATGCAACAAATCTCTTCTTTTTTTTTTTTTTTTATCCTTTCCAGGATGACACATGCAAATAATCCCTCAGCTGTCATTCTGCTATTCTCTGTAAAACAGGGATTACTTTTACTATCTGCTCATTAATCATTTGGTCTCATACGATGTCAGAAATTAGAAAAAAAAAAGGCCCATCCTACCAATATGTCTTGCTGATTATTATTCATCAAGCAGACTGATAACTGATATTTGGGATCAGGGCTGCACAATGTGTAAAAAGAAATCCAAAAACAATATTGTGATTAAAAACATGCAGGATTTGAATAACTCAATTTGCAACGACATAGTCAGTCTACAACCATTGGGGTTATTTTATAAGGGAATGCAACTTCAGAAATGAAATGAAATGAAAAATACTTTATTCATCCCAGAAGGGAAATTAAATTTTTTTTTTTTTCATTTTTTTCATTTTCAATTCAAATTTCAATTCAAAGGAAAAAGAAAAAAATATATTTTATAAAGCCAAAACAAAAATAACAGCTGTGTGGAAGCTTTCTGATATGCTGTGACATTGGCAGAAATATCTAAGATAGGTTTTTGCTTTGGATGGCGTTCAGGTGTGGCTTTGCACTTGCCAATTCAGAGCTTTGTGCTGCTGATCAAAATTTTTTGATTTAGCTTTTTCCGTCTCATATTGTACTCACTGTGGGTTCTCACACGCTAGTTCTCTCTTTCGACTGCAGTATGAAGTTCTACACCTGTATGGAAACAGCACAACCATGGCTAGAAGTGAAAAAACTCAAAAATGTTTTCTGTGAAAGATGCCAAAGTTTTAATGCCATAAATCATAAAAAAAAAAAAGAGAGAGAGAGAAGTAATAAAAGTTGATGTTTTTTGATTATTTGTTTTACAAAAATTTTAAAAACTGGAATCAACATGTGCAACACTAAACCAAGTTCCTACATGTGGTACAGATAATGTTTTCTAGATATTTCAAAACTTCCATTTTTAATCTGCTTCCATGCTTGTGTCCTCTCTGGTCTGTATGTACACTGTCTGCAGTTCAGCCGACAAGTCCTTTCATTTTTGTCGTGTGACTGTTGGTCACAGCTGTTTATTGATGGTATGTTTTTGGTGAATGTTTATCAGAGGTAGTCCAATGTGATTTGGATTAGATAGCAATATTTTAACTT